TTTTTTTTTTTTTTTTTTTTTTTTCCTAGCTCTGCGCTTTCCTTTCTTGGCGGGATGTAACGCACAAACGACAAAAACCTTCAAAAGTTTAAACCGCAACGGGAAGTTGTTTTCTTTTTTTTTTTTCTTTTAAACAACGGCCATGCTCTTATACGGCCAAGTCCCACTAGCAGCGTTGAGCTACCTCAACGCCCGAATCTGGACGTGGTTGTGGAGACGTGCAGTTCAGGAAACTCAACACCATTTCTGCACGCGTCCAGATTCAGGCGTTGAGGTAGCTCAACGCTGCTAGTGGGACTTGGCCCCCGCGTTCGATTGTGGCGGGTTCAAAAAACAAAACAAAAAAAACTTAAAAAGAAGAACGAGAGTATAGCACCGACCGACGGAAGAAGCCCGCCATGTGCAAAGGACAGCAACGGCTACAGTGCAGGTTTTTTTTTTTGCTATTCCAGACAGTCTGAGCTATGTCCGTTGAGCAAATTGAATGGCTATAAATAGTCGTGAGCCATAGCTGCTGCGAGTGACCTACTGCAAATGTGCGCCTTCTGTCACTGCTTTCGAGTGCGTGGGCGTAATGTGTCAGGAAGCTCGCAGGGGACGATGGACAAGATCGTATGAATCTGGTCCACTGGCCCAGGCATGTTCGCTATGAAAGCTGAAGTCGGCCGCCGTCAGAGAAAGCACCGATTTGTTCTACAGTCTTACCCCCGAACATAACGCACCCTGAAAATGATCGTATGCAAGCTATATTTCCGGCCAGATACAGCCAAAATAAGGGTGCGTTTTGTTCGGGGGAAGACGGTAGTCGGGTGGAGGTCCCAATTAGACGGAGTCGTCATGTCCCGCCGTCGATTTTCGTAATCTACAATCAGGAACGGTGAATTATGGGTAAGGGTCATTCTACCGGGGGCCAAGTCCCACTTACCCTGATTCTTCATTTCTGGCCGTTGATCTTCCGAATCTATGGTCAGATGTTGAGATTTCGGGAAAGTGGGACTTGGCCCCCGGGCCAAGTTCCACTAGCAGCGTTGACCTACCTCAACGCCCGAATCTGGACGTGTTTGTGGAGACGTGCAGTTAAGGAAACTCAACACCATTTCTGCACATCTCCACAAAAGCGTCCAGATTCAGGCGTTGAGGTAGGTCAACGCTGCTAGTGGGACTTCGCCCCCGGTAGGTACGATCAGTCCAAAGGCTGTCCTCTCTGTGCAGAAGCTTTCCCGCCTTCTGAGGCTTCGCTTCTGTTCAAGTTTGTCTGGGGGTTGATCCCCACGGGTCTAGGTCCCGTAAGCGACACTGGGTAATGCTCCCAGACTCATGGTGTTGCTTCCCGGTAGACTGTGAGGACCCGGCCTCAAACGGTTATTGGAAATATACCCCTATAAGTTGGGATATTGTCTACCGCGTGGGCGCGGGGAACGCAGCCCTAAGGTAGCCAAATCAATGAGACTAAGAGCTAACACGAGAGAGAGAGAGAGAGAGAGAGAGAGAGAGAGAGAGAGAGAGAGAGAGAGAGACTGAATGGCAAAATTGAAATATGGGTCAAATTGCGGCCGCGATCTATTTTGCAGTTGGAATGATTTTTTAAAATTTATTTAACGTTTTTCCTGGAAAGATCACAACAAAATCTACGAGTACTCCAATTTTCAGGTTTTTTCACGCATTCTTCTGAGCGTGAAAGCTCGCTGAATTTGGAATACTTTTTTAGTTGGCCCAGGCATGG